CCCCTCCTGCTCGGCCGCCGCCTCCACCGCCGCCGCCGCCATGGCCAATGACAGCGGCGGGCCCGGCGGGCCGAGCCCGAGCGAGCGAGACCGGCAGTACTGCGAGCTGTGCGGGAAGATGGAGAACCTGCTGCGTTGCAGCCGCTGCCGCCGCTCCTTCTACTGCAGCAAGGAGCACCAGCGCCAGGACTGGAAGAAGCACAAGCTCGTGTGCCAGGGCGGCGAGGGCGCCCTCGCCCCCGGAGCGGGCCAGCCCCAGCATCCCGGTCCCGCGCCGCCGCCCAGGGCCGCCGGGGCCGGGGCCAGGGAGGCCAGGAAGGCGGCGCCGCGCCGGGACAGAGCCGCCGTCGCCGCCGCCGTCGCCGAGGCCGCGGGCCCGCGGGCCGTCGGAGACGCGGCGATGGCGAAGGCGAAGGCCAAGCCGGCGGCCGACCTCGGCGGCGGCCGCCGAGGCGGAGCCCGCGAAGGAGGAGCCGCTGGCCCGCTCGTCGCTGTACCAGGAGAAGGCGAACCTGTACCCGCCGAGCAGCGCGCCGGGCGAGGCGCTGAGCCACGGCGGCGGCCTGCGGCCCAACGGGCAGACGAAGCCGCTGCCGGCGCTGAAGCTGGCGCTGGAGTACATCGTGCCCTGCATGAACAAGCACGGCATCTGCGTGGTGGACGACTTCCTGGGCAAGGAGACCGGGCAGCAGATCGGCGACGAGGTGCGCGCCCTGCACGACACTGGCAAGTTCACGGACGGGCAGCTGGTCAGCCAGAAGAGCGACTCGTCCAAGGACATCCGAGGCGATAAGATCACCTGGATCGAGGGCAAGGAGCCCGGCTGCGAAACCATCGGGCTGCTCATGAGCAGCATGGACGACCTGATCCGCCACTGTAACGGGAAGCTGGGCAACTACAAGATCAATGGCCGGACGAAAGTAAGTGTGTGCCGGGAGTGGGCGCGGGGCGAGGGAACGCGGTGTCTGTGTGTAAAAGGGATTTCCTTCTCGTGCAGCACCCGGTGGAGCAAACGGATAGCCTCCACCTCCTGCCGGCTCACACACTCCTGCGTCTGATTGCAAGGTCTTCTGGCTAAACTTAGGCTCTTCCTTGAACTTTGCAGCTTTCTCTTTTCCCTTGCACAGTGAGTCGGGTCAAACCTCGCTGGAGCTCTAGGCGCCCGACGGGGATTATTAGAGTGCTACCCGAAGCAAGTGCTGGTTCTGCATCAGCCTTGTGTTTGCAGCGGCTCTTAAATTCCCCGTGGGCTTTGACCCGCTCATCAGCTTCCGACTTCCACAGTCGAATGTTGTGTTCAGAGAGGAACCTGCCAGCTGACCACAGAAAGGTACATGTAAAATAAGCATTTAGGCCGGAGGCTCCTTTCCTTAGGTCCAGGAAGAGCCTGCCCGTTCCCCTCCCCCTCTTACAGCTCTCCTTCCTCTCCCTTGTCCCTGCTGTTTTGAAACCCACCGCTCCACGGGGGAAGAAGTATTTCCGTTTTCAGACCGCTCAGTGTAGGTAGGTTACATTTTTAGCATAGGTTTCCTTTACTTGCTTTTGTTAGTATAATCCCGCTGTTGAAAAAGAACTGTTTTGTAGCTTCCTGGAAAAAAACCCAAAAAAACCCCATGGAATTGGCTGACTCTTAAGTCTCGGTTTGGTGAAATCTTTGTTTTCTCTTGACTATTGTAGTCGTTCCCCAACAGATTCTTCCGTTCCTACCTAGTCCGATCGCTCTCCCCTCCTCAGTATCGTAGATGATAGACTCTACTTCTCTGTACTCTCTTGTGGTTCTTTTCCATTTCACTCCCCAGATCTTAATCTTTTCTTTGTATCCAGCTCCACTCCAGGCCACCCTACTCCACCCTCCTCCACCATCAATCTCTGTCTGATTTTGTGAGTTTGAGGAGATTATCATACGTGGGTGTTTGTACACAGATACTGACTCTTCCCAGTAGTTCTTTTGTGTGTGTCAGACCATCTGTTTTGACAGTCATTATGTGTGACTCTCAGACTGCCCAAAAGGCTAGGCGTACGCGATGAGGACAGTTCTAAACGGGAACATTTGGTGGGAAAAGACAATGTAAAGTCTAATTTACGCATTGCTGCTTCGTTGCTGGATGAAGGCGCGTGTCTTAATATCATATGGTCGCCAAAAAAAAAAAAAAAAAAAAAAAAAAAGGTGAACACTTGCTTAACACTAAGCTGGAAGGAAAAAAGAGCCTGATTAAACGCCAGCTTCGGTCTTCAATGCAATTCTCGTTTATATACATATATATATTTTAAATTTGTTATAGGTCAAATCTGAATATAGCCTTTATAAACCCTAGAGGAAGGAAAGCTTGAAAAAGCTTGAAGGCATATTAATGTAACTGTACAAAACTGACCGAAGTGTGTATATAGTTGGGGCACAAGCTTCAGGTGAAGAAGGTAATGTCCTGAATCTTCCTTGCTCTGCTTCCCTTCGTTAATTTAGCGTTTCCAAGTTAAGCTGAATCCTCTTCTCTCCATCTTCCTGTTTTTAACTGCCCTTCTCAGGGAAGGGACAGCAGTCAGCCTAGCTCTTACCAAAGGGCCTCCTAATGGGGAGGCTGTTAGAGAACAGCCACCTCTTTCCTCAGGAGTGCCCGTAGTTGAAGGGCCCTTGAGGTTCTAGATCACCTGACTACACAGATCATGTGAAGTAAGGATGGATTTTAAACTCTTTAGATTTTGATCTTATGCTTACATTAATTTTAGGGACACAGTTTCAGGATCTGTGAATGGTTCTAGGGAATCCCTTTCATTGTACTTCTTGGTTGAGAGAGGTTTTGGTAATCTTGTTTGATTGTGTAGTTTAAGCATTCCTAAAAGAAACGAAAGATGCTTGCTTCGGGGGAATGGAAAGGCAGTCAGATTACCAGCCACCATATACTGAGCAACCTCAGTGTGCTAGGCACCAGGTTAGGCTCAATACAGACATGGTCACAGTAATTTTAATCCTATGAAGTCGGTAGCATTATTCTTACTGTACATTTGAGGGTATTGTAGCTCCGACTTGGCTAAGGCCTACCACTTACGATAACCTAGCTGGGATTCAAACTTAGGGTCATTCAGACATCAAGACCTGTGTTTTTTCTACTACACTGGATATGGGTAGGATATTAAATGAGAAGATGTAGATTACTTAGCACACTATTGGAACTAAAATTTGATATCCATATTTTGTTGACAGTGAGAGCATTAGCCTTGTATGTGAATAATTGTAGTTTATCTTTGGACTGTAGAAACTTCTTTTATTACAATGTTTGTTTCAGATAGTGACTGAAAAGCTAGGGACATTTATCTGCCTGGATCATGCTTATACTCCTAAGAGAGGCAGAATATGGGTACTATATGTGATTGCAGAGAGGGTCTTCAGTTAAGGGTTTTATTATCCTTTACGACATTGTAGTGATTTTAAAAGGTATTTGCCTCAAATGTGTGGTATTTTTCTCACATAGATTTTCACAGCAAGTCTGTAAAATATTTAGGTTGTTGGTGTATTATCCGTGTTTACAGATGAGGAAAGTGCGCCTCAGGAAAGGTCGCTTGTTGGAAATCCTGCAGCATACCAGGACTTAAATTCAGGTTTTCTGACCGAGATTTGATGTTCTTCATTTACACTGTCTATTCTGTTTGGTCTTTGTGCATGTCACGGCCTGATAATCAGATGATGTATAATTTATAATTGGCTGTGGCTTGTTCAGTATATTCTTGGATTTCTCCCAAATTTCTGCTGCCAGCACGCTTATCTGGCCACTGTTTGTCCAGCTACTTTAAAAGAGGAACTACAAGGGAAAGATGAAGAAATACAGGAAAAAAACAGGAACATGATCGTGGCCACTGAGCTCCAGTTTCCACTTTCTCTGGTCCTTTTTTGGGATTTTCCCCCTTTTTGCCCTTAAACTGCCCTTTGATCCTTTATCCTTTCTCACACCCTTTCTTCCATCAAGAAGACTTGCAGCGATGTCCAAGAGGAAGGAGTCACGGCCTGCTGATTTGTGCAGAGTAGCTTTGTGTGGCTGTAAGAAATCATAGGTGCCTTTACTTGGGGTAGAGGAAGAAGAATGCAGAGGAGTGCAGATCCTGGGAAAATGTGCAGCTATTCAGTTGGAGTTTCTTTTTTTTAAAATTTATTTGTTTTATTTATTTATTTATTTTTGGCTGCGTTGGTTCTTCGTTGCTGCGTGCGGGCGAGCGGGGGCTACTCTTCGTTGCGGTGCGCGGGCTTCTCGCTGCGGTGGCTTCTCTTGTTGCAGAGCACAGGCTCTAGGCGCACGGGCTTCAGTAGTTGTGGCACGTGGGCTCAGTAGTTGTGGCTCGCAGGCTCTAGAGCACAGGCTCAGTAGTTGTGGTGCACGGGCTTGGTCGCTCTGGCATGTGGGATCTTCCCGGACCAGGGCTCGAACGCGTGTCCCCTGCATTGGCAGGCGGATTCTTAACCACCGTGCCACCAGGGAAGCCCTCAGTTGGAGTTTCTTAACCACTCTGAAGGAAAACGTTTGCCTGTTACAATAAAACTACTAGAATCATATACATGTTTTTGGAATTTTGTCTAAAACTTACTCTGTTCAGTTAAAATGTACATAAAGAGAAGGAGTGATAAAATAAGACCAATAAGCAGCAGATTCTATTCCTGAGATTTTTCACCAGTCCCGCAGTTAATTGGGCAGCTCTAGCTGATTATGGCTTTTAGAGCAAAGGGTAGGATAAGGAAAGACCTGATCCTTTATTATCACTACCATAGAGATGTGGTGTCAGTCCTCTTAGATGTTACAAACAAAACCAAACAAAACTGCCTTCTCAATCTACTTCTGCCACTGTCTGTACACTCTTGGCTCCCAGGATGTTCTAATTGAAGCAGCTTGTTTAATGTTTTAATAGCTACATCAGAGTTCGAGATCAAAGTCAACTATTCTGTATTCAGAAAGGCTGAAAATATTACAACTTCCATAGTAGCAGTTTTGTATAGTGCTTTACTGTTTTAAAAGAGAAGCAAGTGGACTGAAAGAGTAGTCTTAATAGGTTGTGACAACCAAGTTCAACTTTGTGGGAAAACATTTTGTACGGTGAATTAGTGTACGTGTAGTTTACATATATGGTAACTTCTTTAATTCTAAAGGAATTTTAGTTTAAATTAACAGGTTGTTGGTTTTTCAAAAATGTTTATAGCTCTTCCCTTACCTACCGCCTAATAAGCCACAAAAATTTCCTGCAAAACCTTAGTCACACAGGAGAGCATCTGAACGTAGAAGGATGGTGGACTTTGTGCTGCTGTGAAACCTGGCTTGGATTCTGGATCTGCCACTGTTTCTGTGCCCTTGAGCCAGTTGCTTAAGCTTTCTGAGCCTCAGTTATTCCATTTGGAAAGTGGTGTTAAATGATGCCTGCCTTTTCTGTCTCTCAGGCTTGCTGTGACGAATGTATATAATCTTGCATGTAAAGGCACTTTTTAAATTGTAAAGCACTATGCAAAAGCGTCCTTAACTTACTCTTCTCATTTAGAAAAGAGTTCTGTGCTTTTCCTGTCTTTTCCTCTTTAATAAGGAAAAAAGACTTTAGAATGATCACCCATTTTTGACCACACACACACACACACACACAACACACACACAAAGAGTTCTGTGCTTTTCCTGTCTTTTCCTCTTTAATAAGGAAAAAAGACTTTAGAATGATCACCCATTTTTGACCACACACACACACACACACACACACACACACACACACACACGCACACACACACACACACACACACACACATTTTTTTTTTTTAAACAGAGGAAATAAGTCCCAGAGAGGTTAAGTGCCTTGTTCAAGGTCAGAGAGCTGGTTAGTGATTTACTTCATTCTTATATCTGCACCTTAATGCTGCAGCTCATGTAAAAATCACGTGTTCCGACTTAACTAATTTTGG